CCTCCCTGACAATGGCTCTGGTGAGCAGGCAGGTGATGGCTACAAGTCGGGTGATGAGAAAGCACTGAAAGCCACCTGAGCAGACTTTGGGGACAAATGCTCACTGTGCTGTGCCCTCCCTACCCACCGGAGCTCCCCGGAGTCACCCTTGGCAAGGCGCCCGTGACCCTAACATGCAGGTGTGCTGAATCTGAGGGTGGGGATGGGGAACATGATTCGTTTCTTAAATAAGGCTTAGAAAGAGCCACTGAAAGTCTGAAAACTCCAAATACGGTTTGAATATTGCCAGCAATTGGGAACTCATGACCTCTTAAGTTGGCTTCTACAATGCCATGGAATTTTTACTTTGGTAAATTTTCTTCACTCATTTTTAAAAACGTTAATCCCAAATCTAAGTCCTTGTAACTTCAGTCCACCTGGTCTAATTTTGCCTTCTGGGGCTCCCAGTGACCCACCCCCACCTGGAAACACTTCTACGTGTTGACCATTTATTAAGCACCTGAAGCCAGCTGCTGTGTCTCCACTCAGGTCAGAACTTAGCGATTCCTCCTGCTCCAACTCAATGTCGAGTGGGGAACTTCTACAGGGTGGTGCGTGGCAGTGGACACGACCCTCTCGAAACGCCTGACAGGTGTGGGACACCGCTTCTTGGGATGGCCCCGCTGTGCACACCCGGCTGCAGCCCACACACCCAAGCTCGTGCTCAGCCTGGTCATTTCACACAAACCACTGCTACGCCAGATCTCCTCAGTTGGGTTCTTGGACAATTGATTTCTGAACCTCAGGAGGCCCTGTGCGTTTTCACCATCCCCTTTCATCTCCTGGTCTAGCTGTAGAGAAGATGTGGAGTATCGATTCTGTCACGCGGCACATCAGCTCTCCCTAATGACTCTGTGTCATCTGCAAATTTGATAAGCATGCTTCTGATGTCTTTATCAAGCCACTGGCTCTCCAGTTCAGCAAGCGGGGGTGAGCAGTTCACCAGGCGCCCCCTCTGGGGATGACAGAACCCTTCATTCACCCACACTCTGGGCTACTGGTACTCCATCAATTGTGAGTCCATCTGCCTCCCAGAACTTTTCCAAACCTCGGTGCCAGCAGCCGCCGAACCTTGTCTTCCCAGCAGAGCCATCTGTGAGACCCGGTATGTGAGAGGCATGGGGGCTGCTCCGGCTGAAGCAGGAAGGTGCTGCCTCTATCTGCACTCTGCACCAAGGCAGTGGCACAGGAGCAAATCAGAAACGCCTGCACTGGGAGGACTCGCAAAGCTGAGGCCAGCCAGGAGAGAGAAGGGGCGATGGGACCCTGGCCCAGCCCCCAGGCCTGCCCCATGCTGATGAGGTAGGTTCGCAGGGGATGGAGCAGTACTGACGCCCCGAAAGAAAACAGAGGCTCCAAGCTCCGGAAGAAGTACCATGCCCTTCTTCACTTGCAAACCTCAAGAAGTGCGTGCAGGGATGTCTGTGCATGAGATAGAGTCGCTGAATGAGGAAGATAAGACATCTTGTCCTGCCTTTGGCCACAGACGTCACCAAACACTGCATCCAGGTCACCAGACACAGCCAAGGGGCAGCCTTGGCCTCTCCAGGGGCTTGCCCTTCCTGAAGGACAGCTCTGTCTCTGGCTCCATGACTGTACTCTCTGCAGGAAGGTAACAGGCAGGAAGCGCTGGTTCCTGGGGCTGTACCTGCCTCTGGAAAGAGAAGGCAGGTTTGCTAGGACCATGAGGTCCTCAGGGGATGACACATCATCTCTGAAAAGGTCCACCAACTGCCCCTTTCGTCTGAAATAAGCTGGGGGGTCACAGTTCTCCAAAAAAATGGCAGGGAATTCTTTGAAATATGAGTGACAATGTAAGAATGGAGGCAGCACACACGATGTTAGCTTTTGAGGCAAAGGCTTAAGCCCAAGAAGGCAGTAAGGTCTGCTCCTGGCCCCTTCCTCGTTCCCTTCCCGTCCCCACAGGGGAGCTGCTGGGAAAATGGCCTGCCGCTTCCCGCCACTGCCTCCAAATTCGGTCAGTAGAGGGCGATGCGCCACCACATTCTCACTCTAGCCTTGGCTTTGCAACTTGATCCTTGTGTCCACACAAAGACCTCGCTTAAAGAAGTATTTCTTATGCGTGTGGTTTAATACTACTACATGAGAACGAAGCAGCAAAACACAAACTTGAGATGATATGATATCGCCTATGTAAAAAGTACACGGAAGAATGACTTCAATGAAATATAACCAAGGTTACATGCTTTTGCTCACTGGACATGGAATTTCTGCATTTTCATTATTTTCTATACTCTCAATTTTCTACAAGCTTGTATTACTCTCACAATCAGAAAAACACCCAGGAATGCTCAAGGGCTCGGAGTCGTGGGGGCGGAGGGAGAGCAGCATGAGGCCCTAGGCTGTTGGAGACACATTTTTGCAAAACCTTACACAAGCCTAGATAGGAGCTGAGCACTGGGAGGTAACAGGCACTCGACAGGGTCCCGGCCCTCGAGGAGTTCACAACATGAGCACAACACACAGTGAAGGCAGAACAGCGGAAAAGTGCGCGGAGAAGAGAGTCTGGCACAATCCCAGCCCCATGGTGTTCCGGGAAGGCTTCCTGTGAGAGGAGGCATTTGAGCTGATATCTTAAGGCAGGGATGTGAGACACATCTGCTGTATAGGTGTCCACATGAGCAAAGACACAGGAGCACGGAACAGGAAGAGAAGAAGAGGCTACCAGATCAGCTTAAAGTATGAGGCTCAGGCGTGGGAGAGAAGACAAGAAATTGTGGAGCCTTCTCCCTACAGGGCCACTGCAGCGCCCCACACGGGGGGGAAAGCATCACCCATGGCTCACCCCCAGAGAGAAAGCTGTCACACTTCTCTGCTGGCCAGATTACAGAGACCCGACATCTCAAGGAACAAAGTAACATACTCATTATTTCCTAAATCTTCAATGGAAAATCTGAATAAATCATCAGCATTTCATTTTTTTAAAATCAAAGATATTGGATAAGAAAACAATACAAAAACCAAAGAGACCAAAAAAAAAAAAAAAGCCCCGATGAATTAGGAGGCTCCCCTAGGTGTGTGTGCCACCTGTAAATTACCGCCCAGCGAGAGAGGAGAGCTTGGGACAGACAGGTGCTTTTTACTGGGAGGCATTAATGTAACATTCAATTATCCTACTGCATCAGGGCTGACTTAACTCAGCCAAATTAGAATACATTTTATATTGACTACTTTGACATTTGTTTTATTTGGCGAGTAAAACAAAACTGATCCAATTTCCTTGCAGCCATTGTAAACTATAAACTGTACAAGAGGTTATAAAATATATAAGTCTTATAAACACTTTGTTCTGATGCACTACCTCAGTTCTGCCCGGCGCCCCGTGGCCTGTGCTCCTGGCCCTCTCACTTCAGTTGCCAGGGACCGTGCTCCCCTGCTGACCGGGAAGCTTCTGGAGAGATGGCTCTTCCTGCTTTAACCGGGAGAATCAGCACTCTTTCTTTATCCAACAGAAAGGTAAAATCCGCCCTGAGGCCGTGCCCTTTTCTAGGCCTTTTCAACCGATAGGATGTAAATAGGGAGCAGCTCCAGGGGTGATGAGTCTAAGCTGACCCCGAGCACAGGTGATGGGCATGAGATGACCATGAGCACAGGTAATGGCCCTGAAATGACCCCAAGCACAGGTCACAGGTGATGGGCCTGAGATAACCCGGAGCACAGGTGATACTGATCACAGCTGTGACAATGCTCTGAGTACTGAGAAAGGAACGAGCAAGTGCTGGACTGAGCGGCGCTAGCCTGGAACTCCTAAGCCAGACACTCAACTGCTCGACCTGCAACTCTGGGCAGCTCATTAGCTATTTGTATCTTTTCAAACCAAAGTGAACCAGAAAACTGCTTCTAAAGTTTCAGGCGATTCCAGGGGTAATTAAGTTTACGTACCACTCTCGGTTTGTGAAACACAGGAGCAAGCCCAGACTGTCTTTCTGGGGGATGCCCCCGGAAGGACAGAGGCCCCTGAGCTGCTCCTATGACAGCGCGTTCTTCCAAGGGGGTGGTACTCAGCTCGAGCAGCGCAGACAGCTGGCGGCCACACCACCCTGTCCTCTGCACCTCCCGGAGGGCACAGTTGGGTTGTGGAGATCAGGAGGGGAGCCCGCCAGTGATTGTCTGGTCCTCTTCCTGACAGATTCATCTCTATTTGCCCACGTGGAAGCTTTTAGCTCCGTTCTCATTTACGTTACATCAATCCCCAAGTGATGCCACCTTGCCCGTTCTTACTTGTTTTATTTACTTTTGTAATCCGTCTCTCGAACTTAATCCATCATTGCCGTTTGCCCCTTGTCTTCCAGTAATATTCACTAGTGATGCAGAGGTTTGTTTTTTTTTAATCTGACAGCATCCTTTCCCCACCTGCTTCTTGCAGAAAGTGTAGAGGCCATTACTCCCTCTACTACGGCTGAAATCAGCTGCAGAGCAACCAGTTGACTCTCTCAAGTTTCTTTGTGGAAACGATTATTAAAACTAACATCCTCTGAAAAACTTCTCACTGTTCTCTCATGCCAAAACTACTCATTTCTTAGCTGTAGCTCATGGGAAAAAGAAACAATATGAAAATGGGCATAATTACTTACCAACCCTCCTGGGTTTCAAATGAGGTGCTGGCCAAGGCAGAGAAAGCATTCCCCCCTCTTCCCGCCAATGTTCCTATGTCTGTGTGCAGCTATGAGCTCTTTAGAAGAGCAAGCCAATTTCAAGTTGCACGTTCTATTTCAGGAGCCTTCACAATATGTACAAAATAGAATGCAGAATGGCTTTTGCATTCAAGTAACGCAAAGACTTCTAATTGGATTTTAAAACATCTCCTCCAAAGGCATATTGCTTTGGTGCCATTTGAGCAGATATTAAGTGGAGGTGTTGTACAATGTAGTGCAGTGGGACCCAAGACCACGTGACTGTAACATGCATGGCAGCAAAAGGTGCCACTGGAAAGGCCTCACCTGGGGAGGTTGGGGGCTGGGGTGGAAGCAGCTGACGACTGGGACGGTGTAGTGGGTTGAGATGAGTCATGATTCCTTGGTACTCTGCCCATTCGATACCAGATCCCCATGCTGTTCAATTCCCTTTAGGAGAAAAGAGAAATCTTCATGGCACTGTTTAGCACAAAGCATTGACCTGAGTGACAAAACAAACCAACTCCTTTAAAAGAATCATAGCCTCAAACACTAGGGAATCAATTCTCGTCCACAGAGATCGGTTGTATCACCTCCCTTTGTGCTCTGGGTGTCACAGTTCAGAGCCGCATGTCCCAACTAGGTAAGCCTTTATGACATGGTCATCTTCTTCCCGCACCCTGAGATTTGTCTTTCTACCATACTTTGACATTTTCCTTGGTTCTCAGTCTTTAAAACTGTCTTGATGTTGTCATTTAATTGTAGGTGTTCATATGACAATCCACTTCAAGTCCTTTGTAAGGTTTGGGTGAGACAGAGCAATGGTTTTTAACTCCAAAAGGAATGAGCCCCACCTGTTTCTAGGACGTGCCCCAACTTCTAATCTAGATAAAGCCCCCTACTGCTGGGATGTCATCTGCAGTTGGCCTCATTCTCAGGGTCAGCTTGGGAGACATCTTCAAACCACAAAGCATGTGCCACATGACCACAGCAAAGAGTGGACACAAGGGCCTGATAGATGCCACGTCAGGTTTCCTGTGACCTGATAGGCCCAGCGCACACCACACAGCCACAAGGTTTAGGAGACAGGTTTGTTCTTAGGAATTATAAGGAGATTATTTTAGCCACATCCAATTTAGAACTTCTCAACTGCATCTTGGGATGTAAAGGAATATTATCTCTTCAAAATATGAGAGCAGACTTGTTCTGTGGATACTTCTAGTAGCTTCTCAGTCTATTACAGGAATGATTCTAAACCACAATCACGTCATATTAGATAGTCAGTTGATTCCAATCAGCTGCACTGACTTCACCACATCTCATGGTGTCCTCCCCCACCCCCCATCAGGCCTTGGAGGACTGTTCCCCATGTGAGGTTTGTCTCCCGCAGCCGACAAACCAACCCTTGCAAAGTAACATATGGAGTTGTGCCTGTTTTTAAGAAAAAGTGACTTAAAGTTCTGAACTGCGTTCTCTTTCCTTATTGTCGGCCTCTGGAAAAGAATTTTTGCCCCAAGATGAAACAAAAATATATTGTATTTAACAATCTTTTCAAAATGATATAAAAGAAAGAAGATTCTAGTTTTGATCATCAAGACATATGGTAAGAATCTATTCTTTAGAATTGTTTAAATTGGTTAAAGTGGTATAGTTTATAACTAAAAATACACATAGTAACTGAAATTAGACTTTAAAGATTCATCATTAAATTGTGGGCTTCTACAGTTTATATGTAAATGGATGCTTCTAAGACAGCTGAAGTATGGTTATGCTCTTAACTATTTCCTACTCCTGTTTACACAATTAATTTAAACCATATTACAAAACAGCATTTTTGAGTGTGTAGGGAGAGAACAATCACAGAGTCCTTCTTAAGGACCATGAAATCATGACACGACTAGCTGAAGGGTCTGAACAAACTCTTGTGCACCAAAAGGAAAATAATCTATTTCTGTGATAACAGCTCCCACGCACTTCAAGTGAACTCCACAGCTCCTCTATTGCCCAGTCTGTGTCTAACCTACAGGGAAAGGCCCTGGGTTTTAGAGTGAAGAGGAGGGTCTGGGCTCCAGTGAACAAGAAGCAAGCTAGAGCACAACCCAGACCCAGGAGGCCGACTTCAAAAGCCAAGTACGGAAACTTGTCTGTGGGGCCCATAGGGACAAGTGAGATGCCTGCAAAGCCACCCAGGGAGAGAGGCACACGGCTGAGGGGCTGAAAACCATCTACCACACTGATTCACTGGAAAGACCCGAACTTCAGTTGACTGAGAATAATGCACATCTAGTATCTTTTGGACATCCAGCCTTCATTCACCTCCCCGCCACATTCTGACTCCCCTCCGAATTTGGTGGGGGTGGGGGGGAGCAGCTAGCTACCCTCTCATTCTTATTCCCTGAGTTTCAATGAAACTGACCCCACTTTCAGCTCAGGACTGGAAGAGACAATTTTCTAGGTAGCAGTGATTGGGTTCAGAGTGTGCATGACCCCGTGCGATCAGTGAAGAACAACGACACTGAATTCTAGGACTTCTGTGAGAATTACCGAGAACAGAGACTTGCTCTTTGCCCCATGAAGGAGAAGTAGGTGAGCTGACCGCACCACCATTTCTCCACTAGGGGAGAACATGTCCAGGAATGGGGTCCCCTGCGAGGAGTCAAAGCAAGGAGAGGGGGAAACTAGATCCCAGTGACATCCTCTGACCACCTACCTCCAGCCACACCTGAAGCCAACCTGCCCCCCGAACTCTGCTGTTGTGTCAGCCAACAAATTCTTCCTCTTGCAGAAGCCAGCTTGGGGTGGGTTTCCTGTCACTTACAATCAAAAGCGCCCAGAGTGAAATCCTGAGGTTCCTGGTACTTAGCATTTATGCAGTGGCTTCAGAGCCAGGCCTGTGCCCAATACTGGGGTTACCAGGTGAACAAGACACAATGGGCCCAGCCCTCAGCTGTCCTCTGCTCTTCAGGGAAGACAAACATCAGACCAAAAAACTACCCCCAAATTATCATGTGGTCAGGTAATATCAAGTCTTTCCCCAAATCGGAACCCTCCAATGGCTTCCCAGTGCCCCTGGAATAAAATCCAAACTTCTGTCGTGTCCTATGAGGTCCTGCCACTGCACCCCTCATCCCGCTTCCTCCGCACTCGGCCATCCGGCCTCATTGGGCTGCTTCCTGCCCCCTAACGTGCCATGTTCATTCCCACCGTACACTTGCTCTTCTCCTCTGCCTTCAAATCTCTGCATGTTGACTTCTTCTTGACCTTGAGGTCTCTGCTCAAAAGTCACCTTCCTGAGCCCCTAGCTGACGTAGCCCTGTTCATTGCTGTGTTTCATTTTCTTTAGTAGCTGAAACGGTCTCCCTTATTTATTTCCTGTTTGCTGCTCATCGCTCCTGGTACACCACCAACGCTGTGAGAGTGGGCTCTTGTTTGTCCTAGTCACCACCGTGTCCAGGGTCTTGGGCCCAGTGGTGCAAAACGGGTGCCCCATAAACTTAGTGGGGTGAATAAACAGTGTGGACAGCCCAGGGGTCACAAAGGAGAGAGGACCTTGGCTTCCGGCCATTAGAAAAGGCCCAGAGAGCCCGAAGGACGAACACACAGAAGGACAGGGGACAGAAAGGCCGAGATGGAGTGAGCAGCGTGGACACAGGCACGGAGGGGTCGGCAGCGTGGCTTTTCCGACTGGCTGCAGTACATGCAGGAAGAGCGGCAGTGAGAGCTAAGGCCGAAAACCTCACGGGTCCCACAGCAAGTCTCAGGACTACGTCCACAGCAGTGACCTGACTGACCTGAGTCCTCTGGGAAGAGAGAAGAGATTTATGTTACGAAGACTTACCCAATAAACGTGTACTGAGGAGGGGCCTGCTTGGTCCGGCCCATGATCCGAATATCACAAATGGCAGCTTCAGTTGAATCCCGTGGGATAAATTTAATGCACAGCCTCTTCTTTCTAAAAGCTACTTCCTCTGAAGGAAAGAACAAGAAAAGATATGAGTCTTCCAGAGATGCCAACATCTCAATTCTGAGCACCATGGCTCCTGTCACATTCCCTTCCCGGCAGCGGAAATGACCGGTCACCCCAGTGGCCCTGCAGGGGGGCCGGGCTCTAGGCACCCTGCCCTCCACAGGGCCGCAGTGTACAGGCTGAGACTGCAACGAGGGCGCCAGGCTCCCTGCTGTGCATTCAGGACCTGATCCCAGGCATCCTCTGCAGAGAAGGGGCTCCCAGGGGTACGTGTACCTCTGCAGGGAGAAGCAGCCTGGAATAAGCCCATGGGGCCGGCTGCTAGAAGCCACAACCAAACCAGCTCAGCACTCCAGCCATCAGACACGTACACGCAGACACCCTGAGTATTACATTTTACCACATGGACTTTCCTCTTTTTTACTTTGTACTATAGAAATTTTCAAATATTCCCCAAAGTAGAGAGAACAGTAAATGAATCCACATGTTTCAGTCACCTACTTTCAACACTGACAAAAATGGACAAGCTGTTCTCACTCCCCCCACACACACACCTTCAGTTTTGCTGGAGAATTTAAAATGAAGCTCCAACACCGTGTCTTGTCGCCCATCAATATCTCAGTAGGCGTCTATGGCAGACAATTTTTAAAACATGACCACCAAGCCATTATCATTCGTAACAAAATGAACAATGGTTTCTTTTGTTTGTTTGTTTTTAAGATTTTTATTGGGGAATTGGGGGAGGGAACAGCATTGGGAAATCGGGGAAGGGGCTCAGACAAGTTGCTGTCGTTTTGTTCTTCAGTCTAGTTGTGGAGGACGTCGCTTCACTGGCCCATGTTGGTATTATCATTGCGCTCTTCCCGGGTGAGGCAGATCGGTCGCCGGCCATTGGACGGCCGCTCACGGCGGCTCTTGGCAGCTCACGCTGGCTGCTGGCCACTCATGTAGCTCACGGCATCCCAGCTCCAGGTCGAGCTGTTGTTCATCATCTTAGCTGTAGAGGGCACAGCGTCACTGGCCCATGTGGGATCCAAACCGGCGACCCTGCTGCTCAGAGCTGGTGTCCCAAGCCAACTCTTAACCAACAAGCCACTCGGCTGGCCCAACAATGGTTTCTTAATATCATACAATACATGGTCTATATTCAAGTTTTCTCCATTATCTCAAAAATATCATTTAACTGTTGGTTTGTCTGAATCTGGCTGTTAGGTCTTTTAAGTCCTTTTTACTGTAACAGCCTCTCCACTCTTCCTTTTTCTTCAGGGCACTGATAAGTTGGAGAAATTGGGTCACTCCCCTGTACTTCCTGTAAACTGGCAGTCACAGCTAAGGGCTGTAAGATTCAGGTTAGATCTTTTTAGGAAGGAACACTTCACAGGTGGTGCCTGCATCTCCTGTGGCATCACGTCAGGAGGCGTGGCGTCCAGCTGTGCCACCCTCGGCTTCCGGTGGCGTCAGCCTGGTGCCTCGGTTATAAAGTCCCCAACAACCGTTCTCTGAGCAGTGTCTTCTTCCCCCGATGACTGTTGTCTAGATCCAGAATTTCACTAAAAGTTTTCGAAATGGTCATTTTCAAAATCTGTCATTCCTTCTGCTTTTATTAGCTGGAATTCTTCTACATAAAAAAATAACTTCTTCTTCAACTACTTGATCTCTCTGAAATATGCTTTGTATAGGAAAAACAAGATAAATACGTGACTCTTTCATTTATCAAGTCTTAGGGTAATGAGTCGGTGCCCTAGCAACCTCCGGTGGTAACCAACCAGGTATCGGTTTGTTGATTTGTGGTTTTTAAACGTGAGTTTCAGTGAGTTGCAGTTACTCAGTACATGAGTCAGATGGATCTGGGTGGAAGTCCAAACTGCCATTTTCTAGCACTATGACCTTAATTTCTCTTAGCCTTGGTTCTATTATCTGTAAAAGGGAGTTGATGAAACCCCACCCCGTAGGAGCATAGGGTGGGTGAAATGGGATAAAACATATACTTCACTTAGCCCAGTGCCTGGCACACAGTAAGTGCTCAATAAAGAATGGCCATGCTGCACACCTGAACCTGAAGCTGAATAATATTAAATGTCAACTATAATTTAGTATAGTTATGGGATGAGTAGTACAGCATAGAGAATAGAGTCATTGGTATTGTAAGAGCTATATACCATGTCAGAGGGGTAGTAGATTGGGGGAGAGGGGTTATAACTTTGTGAGAGGTGTAAATGTCTATTACATTGTTGTGTACACCTGAAACTAAAATAAATAAATAAAATAATAAATTCCTTTGTTGATTAAACAAACTAAGGATGGCCATGAATATCCTTTTTTTTTTTTTTTAAAGATTTTTATTGGGGAATTGAGGGAGGGGAACAGTGCTGGGGAATTGTGGGAAGGGGAGCAGACAAGTTGCTGTCGTTTTGTTCTTCAGTCTAGTTGTGGAGGACGTTGCTTCACTGGCCCAAGTTGGCACCATCATTGCGCTCTTCCCGGGCGAGGCAGATCAGTCGCCGGCTTCTGGACGGCTGCTCACTGCGGCTGCTGGCCGCTCACGCTGGCTGCTGGCTACACACGGTAGCCCATGGCAACCCACTGCAGCAGGGGCTGCAGCCTACGCCGTCACCGGCAACTCATGGCAGCCCAGCTCCAGGTTGAGCTGTTGTTCAGCATCTTAGCTGTGGAGGACAGTGTCACTGGCCCTCATATGTGGGATCCGAACCGGGGCCCTCTGGCGTCCCAAGCCAGTTCTTTTTTTTTTTTTTGAGGGCAGTGTAACTGGCCCTCATATGTGGGATCCTAACCGGGGCCCTCTGGCATCCCAAGCCAGTTCTTAACCATTGCACCACTCGGCTGGCCCCCAAGCCAGTTCTTAACCAATGCGCCACTCAGCCGGCACTGGCCATGGATATTCTTAACATCATTGTTACAAGTAAGCCTCCAGCACACAATTTATGTCAGGATTTGGCACTGGCTTTCAAACCCTTTTGGTTCTGGGCAGGAAATAAGCACATTCAAATCAGGGGGCAGAATGAGTACAGGAGGGCAGTCCTGCTGCTGGTGCTGATGTCACCAACAAGAGATCAGAATCAGTGGTGGTGTTTTGTTGTCGTTGGGGAGGGGGGTTGTTTTTAAAAGAGCCAGGTGGAAACACAGAAATTTTGTGGGTTCTTTTGCTAGGTGAGAAAACTAAGGGCTAGGGCAGATGTACAAAATATGAGCAATAATGTCCTAAATCCAGACCCCAAACATTGTACCCAACAAGGCAGGGATGGTATCCTGGGGGAAAACGTCCAGAGCAACCCTGCACCTTCAAAAACTATTCGCTGATAAGACCAGGCCTTTGAAAGTGTGAAGAAGGTGAGATCTGTCTTCTAAAGTAAACGGCGATGTAGGTATTTTACTTGCTTTTGCCACGCTGCTCTTTGCTCCATCTAGGCAAACTCGGGTAAGAGATGGAGCCACTAATGACACATGCGTAAACAGGCCTAGTTTTAAGTAAACATATACAGAGTCAACAGAGTGTGTTCAGTCACGCTAGTGAATACAAAGGAAGGACACAGCACTTTACCAAAACAGTCTTCTACTTTTTAAGTACTGTATGGATTGCAACAAACTGTATTTTAAATTAATTACAGGAGTCTCATCTTTTTGGCTGACTTTATAAAATAGGGTCCTTAAATATACTCAAACTGCACAGAGCAGACCGACCACAGGTTTATCTGGTCAGCTTGGGCTCACCTGTCCCCTGGATAAAGGTTCCAGGAAATGATCCAATGACCTGATATGAATAGGCCAGCCTAAACCCACCCTCCTTGTGTGATAAGACACCTGCTGGAGACATGGGACAACCTCAGAGTGTCCACAGGGCAGCAACCAACACGCCCCTAGTCACCGGGAGGGACTTCCCACTCAGGATCACCCCACAGCAGCCCAGGCCACAGTCCAGGCAGGACTCAGCCCTGGGCTTCCTCGCTTAACTGGTTCAACAAATTGAGAGGAAAATGCAGGATGGGAAATCCCTTCTGGCTCTACAGTGTATCAATATAAAGACATTCTAAGTCAATTAGTTGTCAAAAACGAACACCAATATAAATTTTAAAACTACGAAAAACACTGAGAAAAAGTGGGAACTTAATACAAGTCTATAGGCAATTTTAGTTCTTAAGTAGACAAGTCATTTAAGAATAAGCGAAAGCAGCAAGCAAACACTTGTGAAAATGTCCAGTCTTGCTAATAAATAATGAAGTGAAAATTAAATAAAATTAGCATAGCAAAACTAAATAAAAAATTTAAAACCTATGCTGGCAGGCTTGTGAAAAACAGGTACAAGTCTGGATCATTAGTGGCACTGTGAATTGGTATTTCTGGAAGTTAATTTGGCAATAGAGAGTAATAAAGCTTATCTTTATTGAGCCCATCCTCTGAGCAAGGCCCTGTATATGGTGGGTACCTCAGGCGATTCAAAGATGAATTAAATATGGCTCTTGCCCTTAAAGAAACAGATAAGTAGCAAAGACACGGAGAGAACATACAAATGGTTAAAATGCAAGCTAAAAACAACATTATGAAGTAGATAATATCCCCCCATTTTACAGATGAGAAAACTGAGGCCCAGGAGGGTGAAGTCCTACAGCTGTAAGTGGCAGAGCCAGACTCAATATCATGTGAGTATGGCTCCAAAGCACACATTCTCCACCATGCCCAGCTGCAGTTTGTCCTAACAGAGGTAAAGATGGGAATTCAGAGGCAGAATCGATCGCTCCCTTTGGCTTCCCACCACTGTAACTTGCATGTGCTTACTTCCCTCCCTCGCATCAATAAATGTGTTCTGTGCCAGGTGTGATGCAAAGCAATAAAGAAGGCAGACCTCCGAATGATTACAGCCCTGACCAATTATGTTGTAAGGCAATTCCTTGTTTTCAGGTCCAGGTCACCCACTAGACTAAGATCCTCGAGGGAAAGGCCAGTATCTTAGTCATCTTTATATCCCACAGCCTGCAGTGCTTACTAGGCACTCATCAATCTTAACTGACTTGGAGAGGAGAGAGAGCTTGCTTCAAACTGGTATCTAGGGACCAGAGACTGCCTGATGCAGGCAGGAGAACTTAGGCTCCCCTTGAAAGATACGGAGTGCGGATAATCAGAGTTGAGGGAAAGGGTATTTCAGGCAGGGAAAACAATAAAGCATATATGTAGAGTTAGAAAAGAAAGGAGTATGAAAAGTGCACAGTGGGTGGCTCGGTTTAGGCAAAGTATAGGGTGTTTGAAGATGAGGAATACGTTTGAAGGGGAAGGTTGGGGTAGACCACACAGGACCTATGACCCAGTAGACTCAAGTACTTAGAAATTTATCACAAGGAAATCATTCAAAATCTACACCATAGCCAAACTGATCTATAGATTCAACACCATTCTTATCAAAATCCTAGCTGCTTTCTTTATAGAAATAGACAAATCCTAAAATTCATATGGAAATTCAAGGGACCCAGGAAAAAAAAAAGAAATTCATGGGATCCAGAATAGCCAAAATCATCTTGAAAAAAGAGCAACAAAGTTGGGGGATTCATGCTTCCTGGTTTCAAAACTTGCTACAAAGCTACAGTAATCAAGGCTGTGTGATACGGACATAAGGAAAGACATATAGATCAAGGGAAGAGAACTCAGAGCCTAGAAACAAACTCTCACATTTATGGTCGACTGATTTTCAACACGGATGCTGAGACAATTCAGTGGGGGAAAGAATGGTATTCCACTGGACATTCACATGCAGCAGAATAAAGGTAGACCCTTAGCTCACACCATACACAAAAGTTAACTCAAAGTAGATGGAAGACATAAATGTAAGAGTTAAAACTATAAATCTCTTAGAAAAAACTTCTGAATTTCAAAGGGCAAGAAAGTGAAAAGAAAACCCACAGAATGGGAGAAAATTTTGCAAATCATATAATTGATAAAGGATTTACATCTATAATATAGTTGACCCTTGAACAATGTGGGGGTTGGCGGGCTGACCCCCGCCCCTGCACAGTCAAAAACGGCATATAGGGTCAGCCGAGTGGCGCGTTGGTTGAGAGATGGCTTGGGATGCCAGAGGGCCTCGGTTCAGATCCCACATATGAGGGCCGGTGACGCTGCCCTCTGCAGCTAGGATGCTGAGCAACAGCTTGACCTGGAGCTGGGCTGCTGTGGGTCGCCGGCGTAGGCTGCAGTCCCCTGCTGCAGTGGGCTACCATAGGCTACCGTGTGTAGCCAGCAGCCGCGTGAGTGGCCGTCCAGAGGCCAGCAACTGATCTGCCTCGCCCAGGAGGAGCGCAATGATGGTGCCAGCTTGGGCCAATGAAGCAACATCCTCCACAACTGGACTGAGGAACAAAACGACAGCAGCTTGTCTGTTCCCCTTCCCCCGATTCCCCAGCGCTGTTCCCCTCCCCCAACTCCCCAATAAAATCTTTTAAAAATCCCCACAAAAAACGCATATAACTTTTGACTCCCCCAAAACTTAATAGCCTACTGTTGACCAGAAGCCTTACCAAAAACATAAAGTCAATTAACACATATTTTGTATGTCACATGCATTATATACTACATTCTTACAATAAAGCTAGAGAAAACGTTATTAAGAAAATCATAAGAGAAAATACATTTACTGTATTTATTGAAAAAAAATCCATATATCAGTGGATCCCCGTGGTTCAAACCCATGTTGTTCAAGGGTCAACTGTATATTAAAGTATTTTTACAACACAATAATGAGAGGACAACCCAATTTAAAATGGCAAAGATAAGAACAGACATTTCTCCAGAGAAGAGCTTGTACAAATGGCCAACAAGCACATGAAAAGACGCTCAACATCATTAGCCATCAGGGAAATGCAAATCAAAACTCCAATGAGAGACCACTGGATACCCACTAAGATGACAATAACAAGTGTTGGTGAAAATGTAGAAAAATTGGAGCCTTCCTATGCTGCTGGTGGGAATATAAAATGCTGTTGCTCCTTTGAAAAATAGTTTGGCAATCCCTCAAAAGTTAAATATTGAGTTACCATATGACTCAGCAATTCCACACCTAGGTATGTACCCAAGAGTAATGAAAACATATGCCCACACAAAAACTTGTACACGAATGTTCATAGCAGCATTATTCACAATAGCCAAGAGTAGAAACAATCCAAATACCAATCAATTGAATGGATAAGCAAAATGTACCCATATAAATGGAATATTATTTGGCAATAAAAGGAACGAAGTAGTGATACATACTACAATATGGATGAACCTTGAAAGCACCATGCTAATGAAAGAAGCCAATCAAAAAGACCACAAACTGTATGATGTATATGAAACGTCCAGAATAGGCAAGTCTCTCAGAAAGCAGATGAGTGATTGCCTACCGCTGGCAGTGGGTGGGACGTGAGGTTGGGGAGAAACAGAAAGTGATTGCTAATAGGTACAGAGGTTTTTTTGGAGGGTGATGAAATGTTCTAAAATTGATTGTGGTAATGATTGCACAACTCTGTGAATACTCTAAAAACCACTGAATTATAAGCTTTAAATGGGTAAATTGTATGGTATGTGAATTATATCTGAATAAAGCTGTTCCCAAAAAAACCCTCGTATATAACTATACAGAGGGTGCCAAAAAAATGTATACACATTTTAAGAAAGGAAAAAACTGTATTAAAATTGTAATGCTCAATATATACTGATAACATCTTTGCAATTTCAAGAGGTGCTCAAAGTGGTTACCATCAGTATAATTTTAATACAGTTTTTTCCTTTCTTAAAACGTGTATACAGTTTTTTAGCACTCTCAGTATAATACAAACTCTATCTGTATAAGGAGCTTAAACACATTCTCTTACACAGTGACACTGGTTAAAATAAAAGTATGGCTGGTGTCAGACTTGTGTATTCCAGTTAGTTCCCTACTTCTAGATGTGTGGCCTTGGATAAGTTCCTTAATCCTTAAGTAGTCACTGGGCCTCATTTATCTCACATGTTCAATGGGTTTAATAACACCCATCTCCAAATAGGGGTCTTCTTTCAATATATCAAGTATATATAGCATTTATCACAGGAGTTAGCATACAGTAAAAACATACTAAATATCAGCTATTATAATTATTAGGTAATACACAGAATAACAAATAAGTAGAAGCAAAATGTCCAAAAGTGAGGAGACCATTAAGAAAATAGAAATATGCCACCCAATGAAATCTACTTGTTTCACTAAAATAGCAGCTATGTGGGGCCTGTGTAGATATGGAAGTTCTGGTCTATGTGAAATGCTAGCAAGAAAAGAGCAAAATACTGTGGGTCCAAGAGGGGGCTAACTACGGAAAAAATAAAGTATGTATGACACAGAATGAGATAAGGAATTTCATAAATAAATCGTGTGTCATGAAGAAAGGATTCTCTGCGTTTGCTTTTTATTGTCTGCTTCACTGTTGGGGTATCCGAAAGTTGGCAAGAGTAATTAAAAATAAAACAAGTTAAGTGATATTACATCAAAAAGAGGAGGCTCAAACACCCTGAGGGTTCCCAGAGCTGGTTAGTTCATAATCAACGTGCCCGACAAGAGCCCGAAAGCCCTCCAGGGCCCTGATGGGGCTTCCAATTCATGCGTCAGCCACTCGCTTCTGCTCAGTTCTGCTCAGGGCTCAGCGTATTTGCTCAAAATGAATCCTGTGTACTCCTCCTGGTCTGGCTTTTCTTGTGGGCTCCAAGAACAAAAAATGGGGACATTATTGTACTTGTAGTCCCTGGGCGTCTTTTGATTTTTTTTTCCCTTTTGCTTCTGGGGCTTGTGCCAAGCTTGGCTTTTCAGCAACACCAGAGGATGCACTAAGGACGAGCTCTCACCAGTTTCTTCGTCCGTTCCTGAGTGACCGATTCAGCAGGGAGCCCCATTCTAAGAGAAAAGGACATTCTACTCGCTTACATGGCACTGACCAGAACACTGCAAACTCCTTGGAGAACCAAGTCAGACACGCGTCAAAAGCTGCAGGGTTTATTCATGGGCACACGTGGTAAGGGCTCCTAAAATGCTTCCAAAGAAAAGTGCATATAAAAAATATCCAAAAATACACCTGGAGGAAGGAAAGTCTCATTGTGATGAGTGATACTAAAGGATGACTCACGTGTGTCCACCGTCTCCTGAATTGGGATGAAGCCTACAGGCAGCGTGTCCTTGATGTCAATGAGCTTCATGTCCACTAACACGTTCCCTAAATGACTCTTGAGAAGAAAGAAAAGAGATACAGACTATTAATCTGAACACGCCTGTGGTGGGTTTGCCATTTTGGCTTTGAGATGCATATTTAACACAATGACTCTTGCAGCTTTACGACAGTAGGTTAATTAGAGTAGGTGCCACTTAATGTTCCCCAGCGGTCACACAGGGACTCAGTGGCCCCCAGGAAGGAGTTTCATCTGCAGAACCTCAAAGCCACTCACTCACTCAGACATGACCTTGGTGAGACAGACCAGCAACCTAGGAGACGCTTGAGACATAACCCAGCAGAGGGCAGCTGTGCACAGGTCCTGGGACCAGGCTGCCACTCAGCCCAGAGCACCAGCTCTCAGGCACAGCAGGCCCAGGCAGCCGTGTGGGGGGAGAGAGCTGCAGCTAAACCTAATAGAGAACCAATCACACCCCTACATGATCGCCAGTCTGCATATCGACATGCATTTCGGTTGCTAGATACTTTCTGTAAAATCCCAAGAATAATAAACTAATTCAGAGTGAAAAGCCCGGCTGCCTCTCAATATTACCCATCTTCTGAAATGACATGCACCAGGGTCTCTTAAAGTTTCTATTTAGTGGTAGTGTGTGGGGTCCACAGTGCGCAGTTTCCATAACCAGTGCACAAATATCTTCCGAAGACAGCACGCGCCACTATAACTGCGAGAGAGGGCTCTACGAACACGCTGGCATGTGCAGCCGCATTTCAGGTTGGAAACAAGCTCTAAAGATACCTTCCCTACAACTTAAATATGTGGGGCCACCTCAGAGAGTTCATTTAGATCTTCAGAGTAATTTGCAGCTCAGTTCCCCCTCTCTAGTTAGAGCCAGTTAAGGAAAGACTTATGGCTTCCGATCCCCAGCCTCTCCTGTTAGGATGCGCTTTGCAAGCCCATTTCCCAGAAGCTCCGCGTGAGCACGCTCTCGGTTTCCTTTTTCTGTGTTCCTGGACAAGCACCCAGATGGCCAGCCTGTCAGTCACCCTGGCCTCCTCTGGCCTCTGCACTGACTCCTCAGGCCCTGTTTCCCTCTTGCTCAGAGGAGGGCTTGCACCTCCCTCTCTGCGCATGGGGGGCTAGCCCCTCCCCCCACAGTGTCAGCACTATCTGTGAAAGCCAGTCAGGGAACTCTTAGCATCTAAACTCTCTATTTTCCTTCATTTCAATGTATGCCAATATAATGGCATATTGGTGAAGCTATTCAATATCTGTCTTCCCACTAGAGTTTAAGAAGCATGAGGACCAAAACTGTTACTACTGTAAACCCAAGTGTAGCATAGTTCTTGACACACGGTAGGTGCTCAATCAATAGTTGTTAAATAAATTAATGGTTCTTGGTACATTTTTAGCAGGGTGGGCCCCTCAAAGTCAGAAATCAAATTGGATTTGCTTGGATGACAAATCTAAACTACATCAATAAACACATTAAAAGTATATTTAATAAATACATGATAAACCAAAAGTACACAAATGAAATAAACTCTTCAAAATTTAACTGTGAAGATCAAGGTACCAGGTGTAAACTCTGACCGGTGTTTTTACAGCACTGTTGTCACAACACTGTTTCTTCCTCTCAGAACCATCGCGTTGGCCAACAATTTGATATTATTATATTACATCCAGGTAGCTGAGCCTCACGAAACAATGCACAGCTCAGCACGGCAAGTGGAAAGTGGACCCTCTCGAACGTGGGATAAATCTCTATCCGTGCTGGAAGGGTTTGAACCGTTAACCTAGCTCACAAACATCAGCTGCTTTCAGAATCGCCTCATATAATCTATCATCATTTTTTTTCATGGCAGTTGTGTTTGCATGTCATCACTGCTTTTCTGCATTGAGAAATTAACAACTGGGTATGTTTCCCTGCCCCGGAGATAGATGGGCATTCATCAATATCCTTCACCAATGTCTTCTGCTTGACAAGTTGGGTTTTACAGAAGTCAACTGCAAACCACTTAGCAGCCTCACCCTCCACACTCCACAACTGTCCCTGATCATAAAATTAGAACATCAGCGGTGCGACCATTAAAAAAAAAAAAAGCATCCAAGTTCCCTCCCGTGCATACAAAATGGGAGGCTGCACTGTCAGGGCTTCCTGCAGGCCCAAGTGGGGTCCCTCTGCGCACGGGGCTGCCGCTGTGCCGGGTTTAATACAGTAGGTCTGCGACACCATTAATTTTGTGAGTTCCTCTCCCTTCCCCCATCCCGTGCTCCCTTTCATTTCCTCCTCATAAATATGAAGAACGTATTCCCAATCCTTGTTGAGCAAATGATTCATGCCAAAAGCCCAATATGCACTGACTCAGGGTATTTATATTGTCTCTGGTAGCCAGTATTTGCTAGTATACTGTAATTATTTTTGACAACCTTGCATTTAAGGTAGCCACAGATAACCAACTTAATATTCAAATGTTCATAAATCCTTCTGTTTAATATCCTCCCTACCTAATCTATGTACATTATTATTACAGGTAATGCAGAAAGTACAGGGCATGAAAAGTGCAATTAATCTCGATCCTTCCCCAGGAAGCAATGTCACTCCAAAGCCAGGTTTCTGTATTAATAGCATTATTGGGGGAAAGAAATTTAGGTTCCAAAGGCGTCTCCCAAAACTCCTACACTGGGAGTCTCAAGTCGCCTAATTAAGAATCTGTCCTGTCTTGAGATCCCACATCCCTCCTTTACAGTTGTAAAAAACCAGGCTCTGCAAAGTCTTGGCTCTGACAGCAGAGCCAGCAGACCGACCGGCTGAACCAGACTAAACTGTGCCTCATTCCTCCTCTACTCCTGGGCTGGCAAGCGGGCCCCCGCCACTCCCCTGAAATGGGTCCTTTTAGCTCTCACTACAGGATCCAGTCATTCTTTTCCTGAAAACAAAATGCACCTATTTCCCATACTGCTTTAAGAGGCAAAGGTTTCTCCCCCGCCCTTGTCCTCTCTTACATCCCTCTTCCCATCCCACCTGCCACGTCTGGCCCTTGTGGACTAAGACACACAAAGTAGACACTCAATAAACATCTCTTTAATGTTCAACAAATGTAGACTAAATCAATGCATTTTCTGTCATATGTTTACCTAGGACACCCCAAGTTAACAAGCCCCGGTGACTTCTCTCTGTCATTTTTAGACTTGTCACTCTCCCCACACCAAGGGATTGGGGGCTCTTATGGCCTAGAGCAGGGGTCGGCAAACTTTTGAGACGGAAGAGCCGCCAGGGGTCAGCAAACTGTGGCGTACGAGCCACAGGCTCTGAAGTAAAATTGAAAATGAAAATAAAACTATCAGTCCCATTTATAAAAATTTTAAAGGATATTATTTGCATAATGGTGATTATGTAAAAATATATTTATATTATCTCTAATAATTTTTAAATTGTTGTGAGGGACAGGATTGGCTCTTCCAGGGGTCGGCAAACTTTTGAGACGGAACGTACCCCAAGAGCTGCATGTGGCTCATGAGTCACAGTTTGCCGACCCGTGGCCTAATGTACCACTAACCCACAGTCTTTGGGGGAAATGAAACAAAAGCAGAAATTGAAAACGATCAGAGCGATCCCGGCTGTCCTTTGAGGCCACAGTCTTGAACTGAAGCCTCTTCAGTCAGGACAAGTGAAAGCTGAGCAGAGATCAGTAATGACACCGTGACTCCACTGAGCAAAGCGAGGGTGTGAACACCAGCTGCTCAAATCCTCAGGAGTTTGTCCACACAGCCCTGAGCGGCAGTGAGCGCACTCACCTTCTGCAGAAAGTGGTAGCCAGCGGGCAGAACAGAGGTGACAACAGCTCAAAATATAAATAGCTTCTAAAAAGGGTTTAGGTAAACCCCAGGGACAAGGAGGCAGGGAGTGCGCTGTGCAGGAGGGAAGGATGGGGCGATGGGGGGACTACCCCTAACTTCATGAGCCCCACGCCTGGAAAGCAACCCAGCCTTCAGACCTGCCCCTCAGTGTCTCCTCAGGCTCCACAATGAGCCCCAGGGACCTGCTCAGACATGACAGGCTCAGCTGCCCGGATGAAAAAGATTTCCAATGTTTAGTGCCAGGACTGTCCCTACTCCATTAGAAACTCCACTTTACAAGTGTATGTTACTCTCGTAATTAGGGGGGAAATTAAAGCAATGACTTCTCCCCCAGTTCTGAATACGTTAGGAATAATTTCCCCAACAAAGACTTTACAAGAAACACAGGAACGGCTGGGAGAAGAGAGCAACAGCCAAAGAACCGTGTGACTGTCTACATCCAGGAAACGCTGAAGGGACACACAAGAACCCGTGACAGGACCGTGGGGCTGTGGGGGTTATGCGATGGTGAGAAAGACTGTTACTTTTTCCTTTCATGCTTCTGAATGAGGATGTTTGAAGTTGGTTTTTTAAATTTTTTAAACCATGAATATATATTACTGTTGTAATAAAATTAATAAAAAATTCCCCCCCCCAAAAAACAAACCCCTTTGCTTTAGAAAGAGACAATACATTTAGGCCAAAAATAAAATGTCACCGATGAAAATGAAAATTTGACTGCTCCCTTATTTGGGTCTAGGGAAGACAGGTGACCTTTGACAAGCACAGAAAGTCTCTGATCTCAGGAAAGGGGCTAACACTCCAACTGTCTCAGGATGGAAGAGGTATATTTACAGGGTGCCTAGGACAGGTCTCACACAGAGTGGATACTCAGAAAAGCTGTTTCTCTTATTTCTAAGCCACCCATTAAAACACTATTGGAAATGCCTTAGTAGATATCTTTCAAATGTCCTAAGTGATGGGCCCAAGTATTAAAAACAGCATACTAAAAGAAATCTGTACATGTGGTGGGCGCCTACCTGCAGAAACATGAAATGTCATAGGTCATAAAGAGACTCAGGGGAAAAGCCAGTTATTTTGGAAATGAGGCCATATCTGTGGAAAGGGGTGGCCACTCAGCATCTTTCCAGCTATGCCTCCATTTGTTGGTCAGCTTTAAATCCAGCTTCACTGGATGGCTCTCACACCCACAGTACCTGGGATTTGTTATCTGGCGGAAAGGTAGGCAAGTGAGAGCTGTGGGAGAAATGTCCTGGTTTCCTCCTGAGAATACATTTTAATGGAATTCACTGTCCACTTGGGTACCTGGTTAATAATACTGTTAATAAGTGAAATACAGTGTCACCTGCGGATTCTACCCAGTTCACTAAAACCTCAGATAAATTCATACGGCAGAGAAAATAAACCACGACGAAACCTGAGGTAATTTCAAACAGGAAGTAAATGACTTGTGCTCACTCAGCAAAAGGAAAAGCACTACTTGACTTACATTTTCTTTGGAAAATGATCTTGTGAAACACAGGTATCTGGTAACCTTGGACTTAAATAAGCCGTCTTTCCAGAGGTCGGCGTCCACGCCATCTGCTGTCTGTGCAACCTACACCAAAGAGACAGAGAGAAGGAGCGCAGGTAAGGCAGGGTGGACCGGAGGTGTGCGCCAGCAGCTTCTTCAGACCTGTGCCAATTAACACCGGCCCGAACTCTCATGGCGTCTCATTAGTTCATTTCACGAGGCCCTGGGAAGAGCTTTTCCAAAAGGGGAAAAGGGAGAGTATGAAAAATACAACTTCTAAAAATATTGTCCCTGGGGAAGCCATTGATTAAAGACATCCTGACAAAAATGGTTCTAATGAGAAAAGAGCAACTTTTGTTGTAATGGACCAAGAAGGGATTGGATAAGTCAGCACATTAAGTTGCTCATTACCACTTACTCGGGGGACGGTACAGGGTGCAGAAAAAAATCCAGTGGGATGTGAAATGCCACCTGAGAGGGCACCGCCTGTGGAGAGACTGACACGGCCGCCTGTTCCAGGACCCTGGGGCCGGCCAGGGTGCTTCCGTTCATGGGAATCTGCTGGGGCCAGGGAGCAGGTGGCAGGAAAATTCGCTCCTCGCTGTGTCTTCTGGGTACAAGCTCTGCGAGTGGTATTCAAGATCAGAAACTGTATACAAAAGATTCAGTTCCTTGTTTCTAGTCTCACTAAGAAGCCATTTTCTCGTGTACCGCCGTAGCAATGTTCCCCTAAGAAGTATTCAAGGATGAAGCCAGGCTTGGTTTGAGTCTAAGGCACCTGTGTACCGGACTGCGGGGTGCGGGGTATTCGTGTGAAGGTCGATGCATCGTGGGAGAGAGTTTACGATGAGTCTGGCGAGGAGGAGAGAGTCCAGGCTGCTCTGTGAATGGACTGTCAGGGCTCGGTCTGCTTTCTCACCCGGCAGCCTAAGGTGACAGTACTCTCAGAGGATGTATCAACCTTTCACACCTTGGCTGGCACCCTGAAGGGGACACCGGGAAGGAAGGCTGAGGGAGCGACACCCCATTTGGGGTGAACTCGGACGGGGTCTTCCAGGGGCCTGCTCTCTTTTAACTGCCTGGCTGTCTTGTGAGGGCCTGACTTTGGGATGCAGTCCTTGATCTGACAAGCTCCCGGCCACACTGACAAACTGCTAAAGGCACCTCCACTCTTTACACAAGAAACTGCCTGGACTCAGCCCCATCCCGTGTACCGGCTCACAGCATGCCAATATGTCACATGCACAGGCCAGGGACGTGTAGGCGCTGCTCCCCCAGGACACTCCTAGAGCCCCCCACAGCCACATTCTCTGAGGCCTCGGGAAATGCCCACAGGGCCATCGGGCAAAACAAAAATGCTTTTTTTTTTTCAAACCCAACAATTATAAATTAGCAAATACAACAAAGGGAGAAGAAAGGTCCTTGTGTTAAATATGCAAACATGTTTGACTTGAAATCTGAAGGAGGAATGGTATGGGGGTAATTTTAGGAAACTTTCTCTCCAAGTATATCACCCCCACAGAAAGAAACACAATGGAATGGGATCAGGCCTCATCAGCATTTTTTCCCATAATGTTCATACATAAAGTTTCCTGGAAAATATGAGATTTAAGGCAATGGCCCCAGCTCCCCATCATCAAGGATCCCTTTTGTTTGTTTCTTCCCATGGATTTCATGTTTTGAAAGATTTTTTTGTTTCCCAAACTCTACTTTTAGTGTATTTCCTCAGTCCTAGGGTGTAGTCATTTGGGAATCACCCGTGGATTTAAAGAACATGGCTTCAGGAAAAAAAGAAATAGTATCATGTCAAAATGTACAATCTATTTTAAGATGCATCCCAATTTCTAAACCACTAAAGTGTGAAAATAAAAAAATGCTATAGGAACAAAGAAATAAGGGAAACCTATGTGGTTTCTCTATAATAAATGCATTATTTATTTATTTATTTATTTATTTATTTATTTATTAGCTGAGCCATCCTGCCACCTGTTGGCAGCTCAGTGGCAGCTCAGCTCGGGCCGGGAATTGAACCGCTGTTGCTCAGAGCTCGCACTCTTGAGTGAGCTCTTAACCAACTGAGCCACTCGGCTGGCCCTATTATTTTTGATACATTATAAAAAGAGTCTGCAGAACACTCCAAGTCTGTGGAAGCACAGGCTGGGACCTCAGAAGGACGAAAGCTGTGTCTCTGAACTTCCACCACAAAGGGATCAGAAGAGATCCCTGCGTATTTGAGAATTCACTGAGGGGTGGTGTGCAGCCTAAATCAGGGCTACTGTTTCCAGGATTTGAAAATGAAGACTTCCTCCTCTCACCACTGCTAGAATGTTCCTTTTTCTGAGTGAGAAGACACCTTAACATGACAAAGGGGCCGGTGCAGGAATGCTGAGGGCAGTAGGTCTGCCCTTCCTCACAGGCCCCTTCTCTGTCCTGGCAGTTAGTCTCCAGCCCGTCTGAGAAGCATTATAAACGGATAACCAAAGGCCCCGCTTTGCCCTGAGGCTACAACTCATTTGCAATGAAGTAAAAATGTGTAATGCCCTCCAACCCCAGCCAAGGGGCGGTGAAGAAGGGAGAGGGAGAGAGGGAGAGGGAGAG